TATTATATATGAGTTCATTTATGTGCATGTATGCCTAAACAAACATACCAGACCCGATTGGGCGCACATTAGAGCAGAGATTGTTGCCGTGGGTTATATCTGTATGACTATTATGTATATTTCGTATATATTTGAAGTTTACTTAGATAACTGCCATCAACAGATGCATTCGAGGAGTTAACATATTTGAATATATGCTCGATACTAGTCTCATACTACTCGATACTACTATCAACAAACCTAGCATACCCTTTAACTTTATATTTTCTTTTCTTTTTTTTACAGCGCGAAGCAATTACGTTTTTTGTACCCATTTAATTACATTCCAACAAATTTGGCGAATTCTTCAAATATTTTTACACTACACGTTGAGCTTAGGTAAGTTGATAAACATATTTTCGTATTTATTATTATGTTATTATTAATGATTCATTCAACATGTTGCCAAGGTTCAAACCGCTTAAAACACATGACACACTTATTGTGTGGCTAACTGATTGCTTTCATGAAAAATTCACTTAATGTCCTTTCAGAGTATAAAAAGCAAAATGTGCGAAAAATTTATGCAAACAAGTGCCAAATATAATGAATCAACTCATGTGTTCATATGCATATGTGTGGGTGGGCGTGTGTTGTATGCATGGGTATGGTTTTTGTGCTTGGAAAATGGGTCCTCTGAATATTTTAATGAAGTTTGGCTTCCTTAGGGCCTTAAACTACATGGGTTATGCATTCTTTCGATTTGGAGCATCGAAATGTACTAAGAAAGAGCTCATTATATAGAAATTTCATTTCAACAGAATACGGCGCAAACAGTTTTTTAATATTCTTTGATAAATAGTGTATATTGTACAGAAAAAATTTTTTTGTAATAGGATAATTATTTATAAAACGAACATGTTCAATCGATATCGATTTAAAAATTTTATTCATTTTACCTGTCACAGCCTTCTATGTTTTTATATGGTTTTTGCAACGTAAAATTGAAACATTTTTTATTAAATTCGAAACTCAATATATTTATACATATCAATTAAAAATAGGGTTAGCAAGGGCATATAAGTTTGGACATTGATAAAGAGCTTTTACACTGTTGCTCTAACTATGTGCGCAAATATGGAGGCATGTGCATGTGTGGGTGTGGCTGTGGGTGAGTAGATGTGTACATGCGTGTGGTTGTGTAAATGCGTTGTTGTGAACGCGTCTGTGCAGTTGGCGGTGCGTTTGCCACTAATTTAATGAAATCAGCAAATTAAGTAGTAAAAAGTGTACAGCTAACAAAATGATTTATTTTGTTTAGCTTTTGCGATACTTAAACAAAGTAAATGCCAACCAAAATAAAACAAACGGAACTTGGTCGTAGTTTCATGCCTGGGCTGTCCAGCAGCCAAGCAGCCGGCCGAAAGCTAAGTAGGCATGCTTGGACGGGTTTATAGTAATATAAATTTGTATAGCTAAAATATAAATTTAATTAACAATAATTGCCAGCATATAACTCATTCGCACCTGCGTCGGCGAGCGTAGCTATATGAAATTGTCCAGTTAACTGCATATTACGTATTCCCAGCGCAGCTTAAAGACTTGGGGTCACAGTTGAATTTTGTTGCTGTTGTTGTTGTTGTTGCTGTTATTGCTGGCACGAGTTTTGCACACTTGTGTTTATGGTCAAAGTTTTTGGTTTGGCCAAAAAGGCGAGAGCTTCTCTCAGCCACTGAGCACAACATTTTGAGAACTTGTGATTTCTGACTCGTGATTCAATGAAATCTTTTGAACCGCAATGAACTTTGCCAACAATACTGCTGCTGCTTTCGGTGGTAGTTGTTTGCGCTGCAATGCAGTGCAAGTCAATTAAAATTTATTACACATACGCGCCGTTGTAGGGCATTGGACTGGGAAACCATAGGAGGCGCAAAGTCCAGCTGCTGAAACGGTTCCTGTTGAGTTTCAATTTGTTTAATGGGTCACTTGGGCGTGCGGGCCAAAAGTTTTCATGAGCTGGCGAACAAGCCATAAAAGTAAATAGCCAGCGACGATGACGACGACGACGGCTGTGGAGCCTCTGCTCAGTCGACTAGGCAACCACAGAAGCACACGCGACCGCACACCTGTACGTTTATGTGCGGCTTGCAGCATGGCCACGCCCCCACAGTTCTCTTTTCAGTCATGCCAATCACATAGCATATGTACGTACATGTACATATATAATCGCGAAATATAGACATTGTTGGATTTCGTGCAAAATGATATTTGAGTTAGATAATCGCGGTAATCCAATGATATCGCTCACACACAGACAGACACACATACAAAGAGTGGAGTATCTGGTGTTTATTCGTCGCAAAAAGTAGCGCTCATCTTCGTTGCCTGGTGAAAGCTACCCGCTTCGCCTATTTAGCTTACTTTTAAGTCAGCCTTCGGCAGTTGTGTGTATAATAAGCTTAACTAAACGTGTGTGTCCCAGTGTGTATGTGTGTGTGTTGGTGAGTGCGCGTGTGTTCTGTACGCTGTTTGCTTAGCAATCGCGCTGCCATTTTGGCCTCATGCAACACCAAAGCACGCAAATGCCAAGCAAACACCCAAGTAAATCTTCTTCTGAAGCCGCTGTAATAATAAAAAAATAAAAGAGAAAAGTTAATACGCTGCTCGGCTGTAGCTGTTTATACTTAAAAACTGATACTGAAACCGCTTTACAGATGTTCGCAACGAATATATTTATTTACTTATGTATATATTTGGCAATATATAATTATTTACATGCAAAAAAAGTAGAATTTTCGATTTTGTAAGCTGCTAATTTTTCATTTTATATCAGTAGCATAAAGGACACTTCAAGTAGGTAACAATCAATGGAATATGCTTGCTTGTTGTAACCTAATTCGAGATTCAGTACCAGGGCAATATGCAGGGTAGTTAATTGTGTATCTTAATGTATAGAATACACAACGTGTGAACTACCGCCCGCAGTTGGCACTTAAAATAAATATATATAGAGATAAGAAAAAATAAAACTCTAGCACGCAGCTAAAACATTTATAAAAAGTACATCAAAACGAAGCAATACCAAATTGTTAAATGGTCGGCATCCTATTATAAGACCCAGCCGCTAAATGTGATTTGTGTGCGATTTAACGCATTTGGAGCGCTTATAAATTATTTTTATACTCATTGCAATTCAGATGAAAACGTATTTGTAAAACGATTTCTTTTCTATACAGCTGCCTTCAAGGTAAAAAAGGCATTTTTATTTTGCAGTGGGCACGTGTGTTTGTGCGGAGGATGGGCAGACTGTGTGGGAGTATTGCCATATAACATATTCACACCAACGAATTTTAATTGCTAGCCATATAAAGTCAAACAAAAAGTTTCGTCGGTGAATTTGCTTAGTCTTTCACATGCGGGAGCATGAGCGGGCAAGCAGAAAAGTTTTTGAACTCTTACTACACGGGCGGGATTAAGCGGAGCTTCATATTAAATTTTGGCAGTCCTAGTAAAGTCCCAATAAATTGCAAAAATAAAAAAGACTATACAAATTACACCAAACATATTTAATAATGGTGTTTTCGACCATTTCATTCTACCACTATTTATTTAACTGAAACAAATAGTACCAAACTCTTAGGGTCATCAAAAACTGTTAAGCCATAAAAACCTGAAATTTTGATCGCAGGTCCTCCTGCGAAAGATTAAAAGGAGCTACTCTTAAGACATCGAGAACCATAAATCGATATCGACATTTTGTTTTATACCATAGTTTGACTCATAATAGCTAGAGACGTACCTTACGTTCCCCCCCAAATTGGTGCCTTGAAAAATGCATACAAGTTTGAAAAATCCATAATTTTTTTTTTTTCTTTTTTTGCATTGTAATTATTATATTATTTTTAATCTGACAAGGACAATAACCTTACAAACAATAAGCATCTGTAGACTAAACGCTAAATCTAGGTAATAAAGCAATTTTGATCTGCATGTTTCCCAACTGGTGTCCAGAAGTATTGACGACAGCTGTTTTCTGATGACCCAGACGGTATTTTATGTAGCTGTCCAATGTTGATAAGCTTTGGCTTTAATGAAGGCAGTACAGTGATAATGTCCAGATTGGTTTTGTAAGACAAAAAGTTTGATGGGAGCTTTGTGTATGTTCTGATCAAGAATATAATTTATTTAAGTTATGCACAGACATATCACGAAGAATGATTATGAGTTAGAAGCGGGAATTCGGGTTATTCTGAGAACATTTCTAAGACGTGCCGAATCACAACAATAGGTCAAGCCGAGGGCAACGGACTTCTCTAAGTACAAGGGGCATGGGATTGGATTATGGCTGTAGTTCGGTGCAAATATATTCTTATACGTGCTAAAAACATATATCGTTTGGTTATCCATTTTTTGCACTACTTTGTACATCCACTCTGGTACATGGTTTTGGTTAATCCCGTAGAGATAAGCGGGTCTCAGGGTGCCGTTCGGACTCGCATCCGGCAGACTCAACACCTCCCAAGCACCGGTGTGAACGCGCAAAGTTGGGTTGGCGGGGATTTGTTTAACCCCACAGTTTTCAATGATTTTTCAATTGCCGTTGTTGATGGTAGCAAGCTGCGGCATCACATTCAGTAATTTATAGGTATATATAGTTTTGTTTTTATTAATTTATAAAATTAGGTTGATTAAATTAAACTTCAATGGACAATCTCTTATGTTAAAAATAAAGTAAAAGCTTATAAAATAAATTTGTTGAACCTATCAGTACTCCATGCTTTGTGTAAGATATAAATGGCAAAAGACAGATGGAGAGTAGTATAAGATACATAGAAGTATGAGACACATGTTGATAACTAGTAATAAGAAATGATCGAAAGTCTGATTGGTTTCGTTGACCAGAACGGACATGAAGAAACCGGGGACTTAAGAACTGATTTAAAAAAAGCATAAAGCTAAAGTATAAAAAGTATGAATGCATGAAAAACCATCCAGACAACAAAATTTTATGCATTTGATTTTATATTTTCTTATAGACAGCTTAGTATAAATAATATTTATTAACTTAATACTATGTTCTGACAATAACATTGAATTGCCTAACAGCTAATACAGGTTTATTTTACTGAACACTTAATTAAATTTATTATAAACGAGAAAGTAAGGTTATCTTTTGTGTTCCAGGGTGTAGCTGACCACCGTTCACTGCGATTCAGTCTACATTTATTTTCGAATATTTATGGTGTATCATCAAATAAGAACAAAACAGGCTGACGGCCGGCGAGGGCGCCACTTACAGTTGATCACGTGAAACCCGCTCGTGTTGGCACGTTAATTGAAATACGTGGGTCCCAGGTGGGGCCAGGCATGCATCCATCGACAAGCTACGGCAAAAGTTTGGGAGTGCATTTAAGCATATACCATAATTGGCAAGTGAGAGTGAGTGTGTGCTGTCATGTGTGTGTGGACTGTGTGTGGTGCCCTGGCTGCCTGTTGCCTCGGATGTTCCGTATTAGCAACACGTTGAATTACATAATATAAAGTTTTCGCAGCTGCATAATCCCCGGCTGAGATTGCAGCTGCGCTTCAACAAGTGCCGCAAATGCTGTGCTTGGCCACGCCCACACAAACCCTCTCAGGCCCTTGCACCTATTTTACCAGAACTGCACAGTCTGCGGCGCTGGCAAAAACTTTGCCACTACCAAAGTTGTGTGTGCCACATGCCAAACGTAAAAGTTGGAAATTAAATTCCTTGGACAAATACGCAGGCACACACACCCGACACGCAAACATACGAGAAACTGCAGCTGGCTCACTAGTCGTGGCAGGATTTGATCGCCTTTCCCAGTCCTTTCGGCATTGCAACCTCATCAATATGGGGAGTGTGGAGGTGGTTCCTTATAATATGCAAATGTAATCAGTGCCTACATTTTTTTACGTTCCTCGATGAGAGTGCGAATGTATGTGTGGGTGTGTGTGTGTGTGCGTGTGCGTGTGCGTGTATGGTATGTGAGGGCAAATTCTGTTCGTGCTTTCGTATTTTATGTCTACATGCATTTGTTTATGTGCGTTTTATGTGCCATGAACTTTGTATGCAGCCTTTGGCCATGCAATGAGCAAGGACCTCACATGGATTTATGTTCCAGGATTTAGCCAGAACTCAGCAGCTGAGCCAGTTAACCACAACCACACACTCACACCTAAAACTTTACGTGTCCACTGGACACGTTACTTGGGAGCGCACTGTCGATTTCTTAACCACGGCAATGGCAATAGCAACAATCTTGAAAAACAAGAGCTCCAATAAGCTAAAGCTGTGCACAAAAAATGAGGGAAAAATACACGTAAGCATGCAAATTGCTTTATAAAAAGCATTCTGGTTTCCGTCTCGTTTCCGAACGTTGAAACTCGCCTACCCACAAAGCTTCTGATGAAAATCGCACAGAAAAAATGTTTTTTTTTTTTGGGATTTGTACCAAACTAGTTGCTTCAAGCTAAGAGTAAGCAGATAAGAATTTATGAATTAATTTGAGCAAATTGTGCGCTGGATACATTTAAAAAGACCAGACAAAATATAAAACTACAAAATTATAAAATGTATAGAAAAATTAGCAATATATATGATAGAATTTTTTTAATTTACTCCAATTAGTAAACTACATTTTCAGATTTATCTAAAGTGTGTGGTTTGTGCGACAAACGTGTTAAATATATAGAACCGTAGGACAATTCTCGGTGTTGTCTTTCTACATAAGATGGTTGTTGGCGATATAGATGCTCCTTTTCTGCTAGGGCGTCTTCAATTCTCTGTTCCGGCTAGACCAACCAGAAATGATCGCCCCTTATTCCTATCGACGTGCACAACAGACTACGCTATGCACAATCCTTTTCGCGTGCTTCGTAAAAATTACAATAGTTTGCATCACGTTTTCTCTACCGAACTTTCTCAACCTTAGAAAATCGTTGCCCTCAATATACCTTGGGGAAGTCACTGACCATTCCCAGCTATGAGCAGGGGCATAGCTTGCCGGACAGGCTGTAAATTTTCCCCCACCGGGTCGGTGATTTCCCATTACTTTCCCAATACTATGTCTTTATCCTATCTACTTAACACTCTATATATCTAGCATACAGCTCTTTACTTTATTAACAATCTTCTTACTTTCTTGTTTCCTATTTATGGTATTTTATTAAATAATATAGCAAATTAAGATTATTTCTAATTTTACTTAGGAACTCTTTTTCCTACTTACACCCTTCCTCTTAGATGTAGGCTCTAATAGCGTCACTGACAAAATTCGCTGTGAAAAGGGGCAGGGCTGGCCGGGCTGGCAAATAAAACACCTCCATCGGTCGGTGATGCTATTAGATATGTGTGATCTCTAACTAGTCTTTTAGCATTTATTTTTCATAATTGTATATATAATGTATTGAATAATTAGGAAGACACTCGTTTTGTCGACCATTAATTAATAAAAAAATAAATGCATAAATAAAATAAATGCATATCAGGTTTTCACAAAGATCGGGAAAGAGTCCGATCGAATTGTAAGCTGAAAATGGCAAGCAACCGCTATCATTTTTCTACACTTGAGGGTGCACTTATTTTAAATAATGTAACAAAAGCACAAACATCAGCCCACTAACTCTTACGGTTTGGGCTGCGCGTTGATCACCAGAAAAATTTAAAAAAGCATTTCCCATTAAGTCGATTTACGGAAAGAAGAAGGCTAGGCGCTGCGTAAAGGGCAGCCAAAATTTTCACAAACAAGAAGAAAAAAAATCAAGTTGTTTAAAGAACAGGATTGAATTCATCATGTTTTCAGCGGAGCACATAAGATGTTTTACTACATAGATCTTTCAAAATAAGTTTGGTTTTATGTAAAGTATCTAGTTTAAAATTGTGTTATAGAAGAAGGAAACTGTATAATAAGTATAAGTATAATGTCCTTACCCTTACCCTTTTCCTTACCCTTTAATGGCCAATTATCTTATATATTTACTGCTGAACTTAATGCAGCCAACCAACCACAAATGTGCATTCCCAACTAGGCAAAAGATTACTTTTGCAGACTAGCAATTCACTGTGCAAAATATAAGACAATTTCCTGTGGCCTGATAGCTGCGCAGATGCATTCTTAAAATTGCATTTGGGCCAACGGTATTTTATCTGGAAAACAATAATCTGGAAGGGGCACTTTGAAGTTCCATCCGCTTGACTTTTCACCCACTCCTCGAATGTAAATTGCATTTAAAGTTGAAGGTAGCCTTATAAAAAAATATAAAACAAGAGATTCTGTGCTTTAAAAAAAAACTGAATGTGTTTAAAAGCTGTGGAGATTTTTTTTATGTACTCACCATGTGCATATGAGGAGCGGAAATCAGTTAAGAGCTTCTCCTGGCTACCACCCATGAGCCACGGCCAAGCCTGACTCTGGCCGGGCATTTTTCATTTAGCATGCAAAATTGTTCTTTCACCCAGAAGCGCATACCCACGAACATACAGGCGCACATACACATACTACAATTTGGGCGTAGGTAGTGAAAATAGAAAACCGTAGACTGAAACTTCCGAGCCTGTCGAATGTCTCTCTCCATATGCCATCAGCTATTTGGCAATTCCATGTCTAAGCGTTTCATAGTCAGTTGCAGTTGTGTTTCCGCTGCCAATTTTAATCAATTCAAACTGAGCGTGCAGCAACGTGAATAAAAACAACAACAACAATGATAGCAACGGCTGCCACCGCAGGTGCCTTTTGTCTATCGTTGCCAGTGAACACTGCCATTTACCGATGCCAGGTTCCACGGCCAGATATTGCTGCAGCATTTGGCCCCACTTCATCTGCAGGATTTGGTAGCCGCAGGTCGGAATCTGGGATGCAGCACATTGTTCGAAGAGAGTGAAACCTTCTAATTCAAGCTTCAGGCTCTGCACATTTTGCTGAAATGAAGAATATTAATCAGTTGGGTGGCATAATCGCAATGTTAATGTAGAGGCGTTGTGCTTGGTTCATTTTGCGGACCTTCCATGTGTGTTGCATTGAATTCAATTTCTTTCGCTGCTATGGAAATAAAAGTTTCAAAACTTCAAAGGATCTGACTAAAATATCTATCACAGCTTATAAATTGATAAGACCAAACTCGACAAATGTATAACACCTTGCCTTGAAGCTCGCTTTATAAGCCTGGGTTTCCTCAATTATGAAGTTTTAGTAATTTGTATTATTTCTTTGTTCTGATTCAGTTCTTGCCTAAGCTTGGGCGCTTTTACCTGACCTTACCCGTTCCGACGAGCGAGTTCGGTTTAAAATCAACTTGTAGCGGCACAATTTTGTGCTATTGTTGGGAGCGTTCGCCTGTTGTCTGGTATATAGGAATATATTTCAATCGTAATAAGTGAATCGTAGAGATACATTAACGGGAGCACAAATGTTTCGCATGTTGACAAAATTCACGATAATGAAGCTTATAAAGTGATGCTTATGACTTGTTCTGTCCCACCATTTTAGAAAATATTCCAACTCTGTCTTTCTGGCGATAGCATTTAAATCAATGACTATATAAATACTTCTCCAAAATTTAATATATCACGTTGGCGCAATTGCTCTATCTGTAGACTTTCAATAAGTCTATAAAAACACTACATTGCAGGCAAAAGCGAATGTTTTTGTGCATCCCTACAAAAGTATGAATGGGTGGGCATTTTCACCTTTGCTGTTGGTGAATGCTTCAGTTTAATTGGAAATGTATGCCCTGTTGAATTCGCATACAATCCGAGTGCATAAATATTATTGAAAGCAAGCCGAGCCGAATTGAGTTGAGCTGTGTTGAGGCACTTAACACTTACAACACACACCATCACGGTCGCAGACACCTGAAAAAAAGCCAATTTGATAATCACCATCATCATCATCATCATCAACGACAACAACAAGAACACATTGAGCATTGACTCATTCGCATTGCGATGACGGCGCAAATACTTTGGGTGCGCGCTTTTTTTGCTAATCAAAAATGGTGTGCAAAAAATAAAGTGGAAAGGAAGTAAAAAGGAAAAAAATTTGAAATGAAAAAAAAATGGTAGTCATGTGATTTTCTATGCACAGCTCGAACTCGTAGGCGGCGCCTCTAATTGCCATGGCAGCTCGTTAGCGTGAAGAGCCAAGACGAGCCGAGCCGGGCCGCTGTTTGGCTAATGGCTAATGCCATTGGCCGCAGGTTAAACGGCCACTTGTCGACCCATCAAAGCCGACACACAAAATTGGATGTCCAGGTAAACAAGACGCAAGATTATTAAATGAACCGCAAAATTGTGCAGCTATACGAGCAGCAGCAGCAACAGCAGATGAGAAAGAAGCGAGTGAAGAGCGGACCAAATTTGCTCGAGATGAATATCTAAATATGGGTATAGAATATGATAGCATTGCTGGCCTTGGCACTGTTTGAATTGAGTTGACAAGCTATATAGGAGCACACAGACACAGACAGACACACGCAAATACAAACTGCTTGCCACATTCATACATATTTTAAAGCCCAAAGCCCATTAAACCCAATTTTTATCTTTCACTTCTCTGTCTATCTGCTTGTGTTCGTCTCTATGCTAATTCTCACTTAGACGCGACTTCCTATTGCCAGCATTTTTATTATGCCATGCAAAGCGCGTCCAGCCGCAGTAAAATAGTACATATAGTCCTGCCTCGTTTTACCCAACCTCGGCTCAGTCTAATAAAAAGTTTGCTTGGCAGAAAAAAAAGGTTGCCTACTTCCGAGCTGTGCAATTGCCTGGTGGCAAAACGCCAATTTCGCTTTTCGACTGCAATGTACATTATCTGGACTAGCAAATTTAACAACACAAACTATTGAATTATATTCTATTGTGGCGTTTGTACTTATTTACTTTCTTTATTAACAAATGAGTATTTTTTTTTCGTATTCTATGTGTATCTTCCACACGACAATTACTGACATTCGCTCTTCTGTTAGATGAAAGAAAAGCTAGCGATTACGCGATATTTACTTAATTTCTATCCTTGCGGCATAAACGTGAGAAAAGAGATTATATAGGATTTGGATAGAATTTGTCAGATAAGAAAAATATGTTTTCTAGCAAAATGCTTGTTTCATATGTAACGTAACTGCTAACATTTTAAGACTTATGCATTAAATATGCGACTATCTTGTGGTTGCTTAAGCTGCGCCAAAGCTAATATACCCGTTTTGAATAGGGGATTAAATGAGAACCGACGGCGAAGTATTTAGTATTGCGGGGCACTCTCAATATGGCCCCCGGCCGCCAATCGCTCTTCCAATCTCCTTCTAAATGATCTCCCCCTAACCGTGTACTCCACCCCCCACACCCTTCTGCAATCGCTTCCTTGGCAATCGTCGCAATTTGTATTATGCGCCTCAGCGCCTTTGCACTTAATGCCTTATTTGTATTTAATCGCGGCTTCCGTTTTATTGGCATCCGCCTCTGCCTGCAGCTGCCCGCGAATCTGCTGTTCAGCTCGCAGTTATATTCAATGAAGTTCAAGCAGCGCGACAAACTCACAGATATAAATACAGATACATTCACAGATAAATGAAAATGACACAATTTGCCGCTGCTGCCGTCCCCATTTGTGTCTGCCGCTCTACTGATTGCTGCCACTTTTCTGCCTCGCTGTGCTCTACAATTGTGTGGCATTTAAATATGCAAATAGGCAGATCGAAGGTCGAGCAGTCCCCAAAGATGATGCCAAATGACTAAACATACGCCGTACACTCGCTATAAAGATGAGTGTAGCGCATTTGGTGTATCAGTAAAGCTCATACCCGTAGGAACCGGCCAACTTTGAGCTGCCCAGCCAAGCCTGCCTAGTGGCATATGAGCTACGTTTTGGGTCTTACGTATGACTTACGAAATTATTATGTGCGAGAATTCCCAGGATACAAAGCATCAAAGCATGGACCGGCTGGTTGGTCTGTAACCCATTTGTTGGGCAGTTTAAAGTTTTCGCATTTGTTGTGCGGCATTTCCATTCGCTGTGCCACATGGCACGGAAATTGCGGCAGACAAAGGGCAACAGCAACGTAAAAACAAACAGAAATGTACCCCTGGAATGCGGCGTAATGCTCAGAAAGGAAATACAAAGAACAAGCAGAGGCAGATGAGCCGCCTTGCGGTATGCAATAAAAAGCAAATGTAACGCAAAATGTTATTACGCATACGCCATGTGCGTGAGTGCGTGTGTGCGTCTATGTGCGCCTACACACGCACGCAGTGTTGGTGTATGTGCGTGGGTGTCGCCAATGTCATGTTTGTCTTTAAGTCCTGCTATTTGCCTGCTTCACCCTCATATCCCCTGATGTTTTTTTTTGTTGGCGCGAGGCGCGCCCTCGCCTTTTAAAATGCCATTGGTTGCAGCTGCGCTCGATTGCCCTTCGCCCCTGCTGTGACCTTATGATCATCCGCTTGGCTAGCAGTTAAAGCTGTTTGGCCTGGTTTTGTGTTTCATTTTCGGATAATGTCATGCCGTTAGGTCCCAGTAGATTAAATTTACGCAACTATAAATACGCAGACCGAAATGATAGTAATGAGGCACTAGACTCATTAATATTCAGGCTGAAAATTAGATAAAATGGCTTAACATTTATTTTCATTACTACTTACCATAAACATTGCAATGTACCTGTTTATGACGTATTGTTAATCGTAGAAATTAGAAGTGGAAACAATGCAATATTACAATTATAAACTTTTTTATCTACTATTCACATTTAATCTAATGTGAATTGATATCAAATGTAGAGTATTTAATTGGGAAATGCTAGATAAATTTAAATCCAATATGTGTATAGTCTTTTTAAAATTGGTATGATACAACTCTATTCATTGCGCAATTGTGCCGACGTATTTAAATGCAAAAAAAAGGTACCTGTGACCCTTTAATACATATTTTTGATCAGGACGAAGAGCTAATTTAAAAATCAATTAATATACATTTGATACTTCCGAGTCGAAGAGCTTAAAAACAATTGGATAATAAGCAGTTAATAAAATATTTAGTAGTTAGTTTTCCCTAGAAGAAGCACACCTGAACCCAAAAGTTAATGTCAGTAAGTGCAGTCAATCAGTATAATCAAAAAGTGAGCTAAGTACAAGGTATCTTCTAGTCTGGAGAGACTTTCGACTCGACCATAGAAACGAACAGACGGACATGTCTATGTTGACACGGCCGTTGATACTAATCAAGAATATATATAATTTACGAGCAGTCAAATCTCGTAGAATGCTTATGCGTTAGGCACAGGTTTCCGAAAAGGGAATTCGGGTTATTCTGAGAAAATCCCTCAACAGTAGGTAAAGCCGATGGCAGCGGACTTCTCTAAGTACAAGAGCATGGTATTGGATTTTGGCGGTACTTTGGTGCTGGTGCTGGGTATCCATGTTTCGCACTACTTTCTACATCCACTTTGGCACAGAGTTTTGGTTAATCCCGTAGAGATAAGCGGGTCTCAGGGTGCCGTTCGGACTCGCATCCGGCAGACTCAACACCTCCAAACTACCGGTGCGAACGCGCAAAGTTGAACCCCCTAGTTTTCAATCATTTTCCAGTTGCTGTTATTGATGGTAGCAAACTGCGGCACCACATTCAGTAATTTATAGGTGCCGGAAGTCTGGTCACTAAAGAGAAAGTCGGACGAGTCGGTCAATACCGATTATCTCTTAAATATGCCTGATTCTCTCCATAGATGCGCAGAAAAGTCGAGTAAATTTCCCTTTAAAAAAATGACCGTGCCTGTGCATGTGAAATGAGTTGATCAGCTCTAAACTGCATATCAAATAAGGAACTTATAAGCTTTCTATTCATAAACAAGGTTTTGATAAGCATCTTACAATTACTGTATGGCTTTGGTTAGAGCGTAGCCTCCGAGAAGTATGAGCGCATGTTTAGTGGACTGTAGCAGGCGCAATGCAGCTCCAAGAATCGACTGTTAAAGTTATACCCAATATGGTTGCTGGGCAGGAAAGGTCGTTAACCACTATTGATGAAATCTTGGGCTTTAGAATATTCTTTTATTCTCAAAAATTCATCAACATTAAAATTGTGGCATAAATTGGTTGGTAGTTTGTTTCAGGCAGCAAGAAAAAAGAAAGTTAGAAAAGAAAAGAAAGAAAATCCAGAGTCAAGTGCAAGCCGGCCGCATACAAAAAAATCTTAAATTATAGAAAATGCGAATTTTCGGAAATTTGAAAAATATATTTTAAATTAAAGTGAACAAAAGAATAAAAAAAAGAAATATATATGTATGATTAAATTGAAAAGTATCGCCAAAACTGAAGTGCCAGAATACGGGAGGTGCCGCCGACGAGGATCAGGTTACCAGAGGAGCGGATTGGCCACCAC